AGCTTGTAGCTGAGTCACTAGCAACATGGTTTTTTTCACCTGTCCCTTACACACTTTCCTGTGTAGTAGCAGCTGTTAAGCTTATTGTTGTTGTTAAGCTTCCTTATTACAAGCATCATGTTAGTTTTAAATGTAGCCTGTTTACCGTTCTGGAGGACAGGCTCTGTACTATGGAAAATTCTGAAGCTAGCCACCAACGATAGCAGATTGTCTGGGCCTGGTAGATTTCTTTAAATAACAATTTACGTTAGGGTATTGACACCCAGTTACGTCAGTCGGAGGTCACTAAAATTCATAGTGAACAGGTGTGTAGTTTTGCCAGAACAATGTCTCTCGGACTGTAGTTTTCTCTGGTCTTCTCTGGTGTCCAGGAAAACTCTTTAAAGATAACTGAAAGATTTTCTGGGAAAAAACAGGTCATGTTATGAGAGATGTCCGCCATAACATTTTGGATGCAGCACTCATTTGTAGAAATCTGACTAAATTTGATGACCCCCAAAAACATGACTATCCAGAGTTGGGACCAGAAAGCAGAGTTGATCCAAAATGCTGCAGCAAGAGTACTGACAGGGACTAGAAAGAGAGAGCATAATCTCCCAGTTGGCTTTTCTTCATTGGCTCCCTGTTAAATCCACTCAAATTTCAAATCCTCTTCTTCACATACAAGGTCTTGAATAATCATAACAATAATAATTGGGCATTTAATCATTAGTAATTATTCATCTCTGGTTGTCTTATGTCTTTTGTCCTGTCTTTCTCATAGTGGACATTTATTTGTTGGGGTATTCTCTGTATTATTATAGGGTCCTGAAATACAGTATAAAGCACCTTGAGGCAACTGTTGTTGTGATTTGGCGCTATATAAGTAAAATTTAACTGAACTGAAAGAAAGTGAAAATTGGAAGGGCAAAAAGTTGAAAGAGTCAAACACATGTTGGCAGTATTTAATTTATAGAAGCTGACAAAACTCCGTAATAAAAGGTTGTGTGTTAAAACAGTTTTTTTTTGTTTGTTTGGTTTTTTTTGTGTCCCGTTTGGATCTTTAGCCATCAGAATTGTTGTCTTAAGGCCAAGAAAGATGCCAAGCGGATTTATTTTACCAAGTGGATCATCATGGCCTTGCCATATTGGTCCATTTGATTGACCTTTATTATAATTATGAATTTATTTTATTTTCGGTTGCTACAAACAGGACAGACATGACTGGGGGATAGGACAGGGAGAAAGAATGAAAGAAAGAGAGGGAGAGAAAGAAAATCAAAGGGGAGAAGATGTGGTAAAACAGTTTAATCATAATGGATCGAGTACCATGCAAAAGTCTTGATCTGCCTATATTCTGCTAGGACAATAAAAAATAGGCAAATGATTTATTGAAACATGTAAAAACATACATAGAAATGCAATATATAGACAAAAACTGAGTTTGTACAGCTCTACTGAGTTTGAACTTTAGTGTGACCATCTTTATTCTTCAACACAGCCTGAACACCTTTATGTAAGTTTTCTTGTCATTTCTTCAATGGTCTTCAGGAATAGTTATCTGGGACTTCCAAGCTCTTCTTTGGAAGTTGGTTTGTTCCTTTCTCTGTCTGATCCCACAGCACTTCAAAAACATTGACATCTGGGCCCCAGGTGAAGTTAGTCCAAGAATGAAACTACTCCACTGTGTATTTTTCTATTCAGGTGTCCTTGCACTGCACTGGCAGTGTGTCTGCGTTCATTGTCATGCTGAAAAATGAAGCTATTGTCAACCAGGCGCTTTCCATGTGGTATTGCACGGTGAGTCAAAATCTGACAAAGACAATGGATAAAATTGTTCTCCAATAATTTGAACTTTTTTGCTTAAAAATCATCACATTAAACTAATTTACTATGCTTAAATGTCTTTTTCCTCCCCGGCTATTTGAATCACAAAAATATTTTAAAAGCTAAATCTTAGTGAGTAGTTGAAATTGTTCAAAATGTACAGTTGAACTTGATATTTTGCCAAAGTAGCTGTAAGTTAGTACAAATGTAAACTTTACAAACCCAGTCTAATTATTTAAATGAAAAAAGGACTTGAGTATAGGTATAAATTAGTACGTAGATGAATCAAAGCTTGGTACAGCCTGACTTAGTCACACCTTTTACGATAACAGGCAGGTAAGCTGTAGTCAATCACAAAAATGACCATTTAAGAAACAAGATCAAAGTAAAAAATGCTTTTTTCTCTAAATTTTCTCCAACAAAAGATTTCCCCTCGTCCCAAAACTGTCCAGAAAGGTGAAGCAATTGCCTCAAATGGGATTTCCTTACTATATATCTTGTCAGATAGCTGCAAGAAATGTGGTAAGAGCAAGTGGATTTTGCTCGAGGTCCTGAGGTGTTTAAATTACACACCTGTAAGGCTTTCCGCTGCCTGACTCAATCCAATTTTGCACTGCTGTCGTGTCTTTTGAACCTTTGTAGTGTTCTACACTCTGATGTACTGACTCACAGGCACAGGGGCTTCATCTTCTGGAAAGTTCCAGATTATTGAGGCAATTGGTCTTGAGTTGATTCTGCTGAGGGGCAGATTCTCCCAGAATTTATTCAGAGCCTGTTTTTCCTGCTGCTGTTATATCTCTGCAAAATCCTCTTCTAATGGTTACAGAAGCTGCTACTTCTCTGCTCTTCAGCATTTTCTTGCTCCCTTAAAATGCTCAGTGATTCTTTTTTTTAAAAACTACTCTCAACATTGCACCCTCCAGGTAAGGATTGTTTTGTTTTGTTTTCTCTCTCTCTCTCTTTTTACTAAGAGTCTTGTAAGTCTAGAAAGAAAAAAAAGCACAATACAGTAGAAAGTGAAAGCCTGTAAATTGTTTTCTTCAGTTTAAAATGCCCCGAAAGGTTATTTCAGAGTTGTGTCATTTGTTGTATGCTGCTTTTTTCTTTCTTTCAGTAAGAGCAGACATCAGAACCATATCCTAAAGTCTTTTATAAACCAATTTCTGTTTTCTCTGCATTATTATAGGTCTCAGGATGCAGCTGCTTCATTTTTATTCTGAATATTTTAAATGTATAGAGTTCATTGTAACAATCGTCAGATCATAAGCATGAAAGGGGACCCGGAAATTATAAACACGGTCGATCAATGTCAACAACATGACAAAGATGATTGTAAGGGCAGCACACATTTACATTCAGATGAAGGTCGTCCTTGACACTTCAAGGCTAAGCAGGAAGCACAAAGTTGCAGTGTGCTGCATGTGGACAGTTGTTGCCATCAGCAGAGATGACCACTGTTGTGTTTCTGTGATAAGATGAAAAGCTGTCTCCTCTTTATCTTCACTTGTCAACTCATATATTCACACAGCAGTCTGCTTTTGACATCAGCTGCTAAAATATACACTTTGTGCTCTGCAAATTGCTCTTGAAAAGCACTGTGTAAAGTGTCTAATCAGCCGCTGCACCACCATGAATTGCAAGGCGCTTTTTTGTGTGAGATAAAATCTGAGAAAGTGATCTCAAGAAAAGAAGCCATTTAGTTAGTTTTAAATGAGACGCATTAGATGGTTTTCCTTCAATAATCTTGTTTTCAAAAAATCTTTTTAGCTTGGTAAAAGAATATGTGGAAACAAAGAAACTATGTTTGATTAACTTTTCCTTTTGCAGATACCAGTCTGGATAATTGACTGTGCTATTTTCTGATATAATTTCACATTAAAGGCTTCAGACACCAGAAACAGTCACAAACACTGCTAATGCTTTTCAGTTGTGTGGGGTTTTTTTTTTTAACAGAAATGTCTTTGTGATGAGACAAAAAGCCTTTCTCAAACAATCTTTCAAAAACACGATTTATATTTAATGGCGTTGCTCTTTTTATGAAACCTGTTTGTTTCATAAACAGTAACTTGGGTGATGAGTAGCAGTTTTATTATTTTTAATCTAAATAAAAACTCTGTTTCTTTGCTTGATAGGTGATCTCAAAAGCTGTTTGAGAGAAAAGTAAATCAATATTTACCCAATAATGAATTTGGAGCTTCATTTGTGCCAACATTCACACTTTTTATAAGCGGACATCTCTTAAGTAGTCGAGGTGGCAAAAGGCAGTCAACAAACAAGGTCGGAAAATGCAAACACATTTATTTTAGGCAGGATTTCCAAACTTCCTGTTCTATAGTTATCTATGGAAGGTCTCTGTTGTGTCTTTATTGCAGTTGTGTAATGACCAGCACACATTATGCCTTTTCTCGCTCCCTCTCTCTCTGGCTCTCTCGCTCATCGGTTCGGCTTTGACATTTAAAAGTGCTGCAGATCTCGCGCACACGTAGTGTTTGCCAAATGCCACAGCTATAGTTGAACATTTGAAAAGCGCTCAACGATTCAAGGCCAGAAATGAATGATGGAAATACGGTATTATTTATTTCAGAACCGCTTCGTGTTCCTTAACAAAATGGAAATGAATGAATGAGGAAAAGATGGTTTGAATTACCCTCTTTACTGAGCAAAATCCAACAAAGCATATTTACTACTACACGTGAAGTATGCACAGAAATAACCTAATGCACAGTCTTTCAAGGTGGAGGTGAATAAACATTTACATTAGGTCAACACATTGTTAAATGGCTTGCGTAAAGATCCTGTAAGGTTGGTGTTAAAATGCACAAGAATCTAATTATGGAGAACCATTACACAAAACACTTGCAACAACAAAAGCAAAGTCAAAGCTAAAAGTGGCTTTTTAAGCAAACAGTAGCATATTATTCAGGTTAATAAGCATCATCTACACTTGAATCCCCCCATAGCCAGCGGCACAGCAGTGTGGCTGTTGTATGTGAAAGCCTTACACCCCCATGTTGTGGGTTTTGGTGTTTTAACAATGACTTATCGTTTTACTCCTTTTGTCTGTCAGCATGAACGCTGACAAGATTACATCTGAAGTGCAGAAGAAGATTGTCTGGATCACGTCTGGCTTCTTTGGCCTCATACATTCGACTGAGCTTCATATCATTCTTGTGCCCGTTTGTCCACAAAGTCACTTATGTGTAGTTTTCTTGAGGATCGGCATTATTTGCAACAACACCCGGCAAATCTGCCGCAATGGTGGAGGTGTAAAGGCGCGGCATTCTGTGAGACACCGTCAGGACGCTTGACCCTTGTCGCCTGTCTTTCGCTTTTCCTTTTCTCCAGGGCAGGAAGTGGAGACACAGGTAAGAGAGGAATTTGTTATGCAGCGAAGCATAAATGAATGGGTTGTAGCAAGCGGAGCTCATGGCAAAGAGGTGACTGGACACCTGGATGACGTTGATATAGTTCTTCCCCAGGATGGAGAAGTCTGTGTCCAGGTCACGGATCAGGTTCACCACCTGTGGAGTAAACATCGGTATCCAAAACATTAATTCAAGGAACAATTGCCATTTTTCTACTGCCAACAGATAGACTAGCAAAGAAATACAAATTAGAAAAAGTAAAATTGCTGAATTGGCACAAAAAAACCCCCAAAAGAAAATAAAAGAAAATGCCAATTTCTTCACCATCTAAAGAGTCTTTCCTGGCTGACTTGAAAACTCTAAACATCAAGTCACTGTACCCAATTGAACTGTCAGTTTGTGTGCAGACTGAGATGTGTTTATTGCTGAGGCAGACTGTGTTTCCTCTGGACAAAGGCAGGCTGGCTGTTTCTCCCTGTTTTATCCCTCCCTCAAAGTTAAGATGACCTGCTAAGATCTGATTCATAAGGTGGAACCTCTCCTAATTTAGATTCCCATATATTTGCATATTCTTCAAACCAGCAATCTCATGTTTTGTTCACCTGTAAAGGAAGCCAGGAGAAGGCAAAGCAGAGGACGGACACCAGCAGCAGGCAGAAGGTCTTCTTCCTCCGTCTGCTCCAGGTGGTCCGTGCAGATCTCAGCTCCGTGCATGCTGTCAAGCTCGAAGTCATCCTGTGTTTCAGCTGATAGGAAATGGCACAGTAGGAAATGGAGACAGCAACCAGTGGGACAAAGTAGGAGAAGAAGAGAATGAAACAGGAGTAAATGAGGCGACCCTGCTCCTGGCCATCCCAGAACTCCTCACATACAGCCATCTGCAGGCCTGCCGCCTGGAGGTCCAGGTAGACCGTGTGCAGTGCCGTAGGCGTGGATAAAGCCAGAGAGGAGAGCCAGATCAGAACTACAAGAACCCAGCAGAAGCGGTAGCTGGCTCTCTTTCGGATGGGATAAGCCACAACTACGTAACGATCCACCGCAATGGCCATGAGGGAGAGGACGGCCGCGTAAACAGCTGCGGATTGCATGACGGTGACAAAGTGGCACATGTGGGATCCAAACACCCATCCGCGCTTATCAAATGCATAGGACGCGGTCAAAGGGACGCAGAAGACGCACATCACCAGGTCGACGAGTGCCAGGTTGCTGATGAGAAAATTGGTCGTGTTGTGTCTTTTCTTATTGTGCCAGATGAGGAAGAGCAGGAGGAGGTTGCCAGAGCACGCAACCAGGACCACAGCAGAGTAGAGAGGGATGAAGATGAGCTTCAGGTTAAACAGGAAGTCGAGCCCAGAGAAAGAGGGGGCTGAGAACTGGGAGGCTGAGAAGATGGAGCGAGAAGAGTTGCAGCAGGAAGAGGAGGAGGACGAGGAGTCAGGCAAGAGCGAAGATGAAGAGGAGGCTGGAGTAGAAAAGTTCACCTTGGTTCGATTCAGTGATCTTTCCCAGTCCATAGCTGCGGAAATAACAAGCATATTTTGCATGACTCAATTAATATTTCTGTGTAATTTATTAATCAACATTTTGATTGAAGCCAGTATGGCAGCGTCTGGGTGTTTGAACATTTTAAAAGGCTAATTGAAGCTCATCTTCAAAACTCTCAGCACACATTTCTCTCTTTACTTCTCCAAAAGCCTTTCCAATTATCTTCGATCCATTATCTAAAGTATTGAAAAAAGGAAGAAAGCTCACATTGACTGGACGGATGATTTCTGGTTATGAAAAGCAGAAATCATCCTCGAAATCATAGTAACTTCCCAGAGGCGGTCATCCCACACATCTGCTGGAACATCTGCACTTATTAATCTAGGCTGACGTCAGTGATTTTTATTGTCGCTCAGAAATAAGAAATATTCATCAACTGGCATCACACAATCAGATGTTATGCAAGAGTGTGAAAATGGGCATGAATGCAGATTGGTTTCACATTCTGTCACTGCTGAATGAGAGACTTGGCTGTGAGAGAAGAAAAGAAAAAAATCACTGAATAAAATGAGAGTGAAACCACAGAAAATTGTAAGATCAGAGGAGGAGTCTATGAATAACACCTGTAGTCAAAATTGGGCTGAATGGTGTAATTTTGGCGTGAGCACTGGCTACAGTTTCAACTTTCATTGACATGAAAAAACAGCTACAAATATTGTTTCATCTAAAAAACTCACACAACCAAGAAAAGAAGATATTTATGCCCAAAATTCAGACTTTAAGTCATTTAATAACATGTACATTTTTCATGTAATTTTGTTACAATTTAATGTCTTTGATTTGGTATACATTAAGTTTATACCCAACACATTTTCCTTATTTTGTTTTGTTTTGCATTTTTATATATTAAGCTGCTGTTTTAATTTAAAAATATTGCACATTGCATATTGCATTACATTAAGCAAATAATAGTAATAATAAAAATAATAATTAACGGGCCGACTGCCTCATTATGCGTTCATCATACTGAATGTGAACAATCATAAAAGTGTAATTTCCCAAGGAAGCTAATTAAATCATGATCAGAGCAGATATTCTTCCCTTACTGACTCAACCAAGTTCCTTATTGACCTTTTCTGATCAGGCCGCTCAGAATGATTCATGCAACCACATCTTCTCTAAGATACAAAAGGGATCCAAAATCATTCATAAACATGAATAGGATCAACCTATTTTTAACCTGAAGTGGTCGACCTCGGATTGAAAATGTATTTCCTCAAAAGGAAGAAGATCTGAGTCAAATTTCGCAATCAGCCACTTGGCAATTTTTCTGAAGTGCAGAGTAAATGAAAAAGTACCTGTTGGAGATATCAGATGCACCTGTTTGAGTCCTTTTCCTGCAGGGAGTCCCGCTGTTGTGCAGCCGCACTCATTTGCTGCAGCTTGCTCTGCTTCAGAATAAAGAGGTGCGCTCTTTCTCTCTCACTCTCGCGCTCTCTCTCCCTCCAACAAGGGATACAGTAAAGGCTGAAGTGAGTGAGTGAGTCACCTCCAGTAAAATCATTCTAATCTCCTATAATGTTTCTCTTGGGGAGTGCATCTCAGCTAGAAAATGACAAATTTATGATGACCTTGAGCCTCTTTATGGTTTAATATCACTCATGACATCATTATCATTTTTCTAGTGGGACTTACATTATGTCTGAGATTTTATATACTCAAATTATGCCCTTTATGTTAACATTCCTACAGCATTCTCACTCGTGTTATCCCAAGTTTGGTCAGAAACAGGCATTGGGATGGAAACACCGAAGAGGTCCAAAATGATTATTTTGAATATGTTGTGCACCCCCGCCCTCCACGGAGCGCCATGAATGAAGGATCCTGCTGTGAGGTTCTCCACAAAGCGGACACTTTCTAGACAAAGCGTTTAGGAAACAGAATACAAATTGAACAATTAAGATGTTTCTCCAGCAGTTCGCATTCATTATTCATAATCTCAAAACTAATTTGAAAAAAATTGTGAGTCTCAGTCAAAACCAGCATGATCGAATGATTCATCAACGGTAATGCCGAATGGCATTCATTGCGTGACTGTTTCGCTGCTTGAAGGGAGCACAGATCTCATTGTGAAGATAATTAAGATGCCCAAAAGTTCCAGTTAATCATATTCATGTGCAGAAACCACGTAGTCTCCAGATTTTCATCAAATTCAGAGCAGAAAGTGTGGCCACTATTTTAAAGTACTTGTTAGTATGAACTTCTTACGATGACATTTTAAGGCTCGAAATCTTCTAACATAAAGGTACGATATCATTAGTGTTTCAATTTCAATGGAGCTCTGGTAAGTGTTGCTTTGAAATGCTGCTTTTAATTAATACAGATATTTACATGGCATTCACATTTTAATATTGATTGCTACAACATGGTAAACGATGAGGACATGGCCATTTTTCCTCCCTTTAAGAGTAAATTTAGCACTGTTGGGAGAAGCTTAAATCTGGGTTGTTTGGAGAGAAGACTCAAAGCACTGAACATACAGCCACTGTAATGGTTTTCTGTCTGTTGCTCATTTTTCTGTGTGATGTTTACTGTTAGGACACATCAGAACAGTTTAAAATAACACAGACTGGTCTGCTTTAGAGCACACAGCCTCTCCTTCCACAGACCACTTTTTCCCACTTTGATTTAACTGGACACTGATGTGGACAGGGCTGTCGAGCTGGCCTTTCTTCAGTCTGATAAGTTCCTGTGGTGAAGGTAACAGTTTGTTCTAGCAGCATCCATGAAGTAATCAAATGGTGTACCACCTCAGAGTCTTCCTTTACGGTGACCACTCTAGTTCTGAATCACTTGTACATGTCATGTATACTATGTCCAAGTGTGGGAGACGTGACAGCTACAGGTGTTTAGCTATTTTCGGCTAATTGCTCTCTTTTTTTCACTGTGCCACCAGAAAGCACACAGCAAAACCTCACGTGTGTCACAAAAAGCAAGCGGCCCCATTACGTGTCCTCCTGATGGAGCCTTTGTGGTGGGCTTATTTTCAGGTCCTAAACAGGGGTTCTGCTTGTTTGATGACTGAGTGCCAATTTAGGGAGACAGCATTCAGCTGAGGGCTGCAGAAGAAAAATGCACCCATCAAACAAACTAAGTGCAAATGTAATAATTCATGTATTAAATACTGAGCAGCCAGAAGTCTGTTCAGATTTGCTATTTTAGGTAATCTTGGAAATGTGTTGGTTGAAAGGATGGTGGTGGGTTATGGTGGTTTCGTCACACCAGTCATCACCAGTTGTATTTGGAAATACTTTTTTTTAAACAGTTCATCTAGTTTGCACTGGATTAAATGTGCAGTAGTTCCTGCTGTCATTAGGTCTGTACAGAATGCTACTGAAGGCCACACTCTGACATTGAATACATTAAATACACAAGCAAACCACTGCTCTCCAGCGGGACACGGGAAACATACATACATGGATAAATATACATATTTGCTACAATCTAATCTGACGTCCCTTTCAGCGCTTGAGTGACTGTCAAATGTACAAATTTATACAATTAATATTTAATTCTGTAAATATTGAAGATATTGGCACAGTTTCTTGTGCAACATTTCATCAAGATCTGTCCACTAATCTAGGAAAAGATACAATCATACAATCATTTATAGATAAAATACGATCATTACAGTATGGTGATGATGTTCAGTTCCCACATATCCACGCTTTACTGTGGAACTTACCAAATCATAAGCTAGTCCACCTCAGAGAAAGTTGCACTGAAGATATATCCCCCCAAAATGACAAACTTGCTTGTGTTGATATTAGCAAAGAGATGCTTTTTTTCCTTCAGAGAATTTCTTTCTTCACCACATCCTGTTTATAGGAGCTCCACTAAGATGTAGCTGCTGCTACTGGGATTTAGTTCATTAACAAGGGACCTTGCTGGGAGGAATTTACTTCAGCTGTCTCAGTGTTGGGACTGTGACCATAGATCCCAATGCAGATTGTACTGAGGGTCTGCAGATTTGGATATGTAAGTTATATGCGACTAGGAATGGGTTTATAGTTGAGAGAGCCTCTGCTATATGCAGAGGTAGAGTGGGAGGCATCCCACTGAGAAGCTGCAGCAGATAAAATGAGAGCAATGTAAATTAAAAATTAAATTATAAAGTATTCATTTTTGTACTTTCTGTGCAAGCGAATCAATCCATGGGCTCTCATTTGAAGCATTTCATTGAAAGTTGTGACAGATATTTTTGGAACATAATATATAATAATTAATAAACAAAGACATGAAAGATCAAGTTTTGGGGGGGTAACCAATTTTTTTAGCTATTTTTATTTTTAACGGACTGATCTTTGGGGCTAAATGGCTTTCTGAAACTCTCTTTCTATGTGGACATCAAAGTAGATTTCATTATTAACATACTCCAGTGATGAAAATGTCATTTTAATTACTGCTGAGCCCGAGCCAGATTTTAGTTTCTTCCCACTCAGAGCTTCATAGTGTCTATTATCCCAGTCCAACCTATTACCACAAACCACGTCTCTGTGAGACCGCTACAGCTGGTCCCTAAGTATTATTAATAATGGTAAGGATGTTCTAGAAAAAGCTAAATAAAGTCTACTTTATTAAATCAAGGTAACTGTCAGAATATGTTCTCCACTTGAATGAGAAATGAGGACAAAGACTGTTTTGTTGAGATGCTTTTTCTGATCTCACTCTCTCAGCCGTTTAGATCCAAGAGTAATCTAATTCAAGGGACATCCAAAGGTTTTCATGTCAAGGACCCCCCAATTGAATTAAGTCCTATTAAATAATGATGCCATGGCTGCTGTTACTCAAATGAACACAATTTGATTCAGTTTATTTAATTCAGAATTACACTTGGATGCCAATCAATAAATCGTCTGTACGCTTTAATACATATTACCTTTAAGAAGTTTATAATGCCCTTTTTCGAGCTGTACCACTTTAAAGAGTTGTTGTAACTTTGGTTATTTTGTAGGGATTCATTTGTAGCTCCGAGAGGAATCACTAGAATTTTCTACATATAAACTGAATATATACAATATAACCATCCAATGAATAGCTTTCAATGAGGACAATGAAATAGTCTCACAGAATTGACAAATGAAATAAAAACAACAGCCAATACTGACCAACACTGCCTTCGAGTTCCTAGCTTCCACGCACAAAAAGCCTTAACAACTTGTAATTTGAGCAGCCCTGCCTAATTAAAGCCCACAGCTTCCACTTGTCCTTTCACAACTTGCAGTCTTCGAGTTCAAGCAGAGATACCAGTGTGATATCATGAGTCATTTCCTTTCAAGAGTTAAAGAGCTCTTCTCTCGAAAATGTGTTTTTCTTGCTCCTACTTGATTCAAATGTGTGACCTTCATTGTGGAGAATGATGCATGTTCAAAATTTGCTGAAGGAGACCAACTTTCTCTCTGTGCTGCTTTGATTTCAGCTACCCTGAAATTTTGAAATGAAGATATTTACATTTTCATCCATTTTTTTAGGATATGTGTGTTTCAAAACATGTTCACTGTGCACCATTTCAGACACAAATTATTATTCCAAACCAAGCGGAGCATTTTATCATGTCTGGTGGTCTTTGCTTTATGTCATTCAGAGCCACGAGGGACTTTGTAAAACAGGCTGTGGACTCGCTGTGACTGCTAAAGTCGCTGGCTTGTAAAATGGCGAATGAATCAAACTCGGTTCTTTGCTGCCTTCTATACGTATTAAGAGGCCAAATAGTTGCCGTGTACTGCTAATCAAACGCACTTGATTATTTGATCTTCAGTAAGTGTGAGCATTTGGGTTTCATCACAAAGCCAATAAGAAAAGACATCAGCAGTGATCTTCAGGAAGCAATTGTTGCTCCCTATCAATCTGGGAAGAGTTTTCAGGCCATTTCCAAACAGTTTGAAGTCCATCATTCTACAGCAAGAAGGACTGTTCAGAAGTGGAAGACAGTTAAGGGAGTTACCAGTCTTCCCAGGAGTGGATGTCCCAGCCAATTCAGACCATGGTCAGACCATGTAATGTTCAGAGAAACTGCAAAAAAACGAAAACAAAACAGGGATGCATCTCAAACTCTACAGGCCTCAGTTGGCATGTTAAAATTTAAAGTTCTTAACAGGGTGATCATTTTGGCTTGCTTTACAGCCACAGGACAAGAGCACCTTGCTGTCACAGAGTCACCATAAACTCCTTTGTAAAAAGTATTCTAGAGTAATGTGAAGCTATCTGAGAGCTTAAGAATATGGGTCAACCAACAGGACAATGATCCCTAGTACAGCAGCAACTTTACATCAAAGTCCAGACCTCAACCTGATTGAACCTTAAGAGAGCTGCACATAAAGAATGCCTGCAAATCTCACTGAAGCAACACTTTATCAGTCTCTCATGTCCTGAAGAGAATGATAAAGTAATTAAAAAAAAAAAAATTTTTGTACCACTAAAGATGATTCTGCAAGCTACTGAATAATGTGGTGTACTTCACACACACATTTTAACATAGCTTGGTTTAAAAAGTAATGAAAAAGTCTCATATGTTGTGTGCTGTTGCTCATTTAAAGTTACATTTAAATGATTTAACTTTGTTAGGATCAGATGATTTTTTTTATGTCCTGGTTTAAAATCTCAGAACTGAAAGAGAGTGCACTTCATTTGTCACCATATTGCATGTCTAAGCCCTAAAATACCCCCTTGATGATACACCATATTGTACCAGACCCAACGTTTTCACTCCCAAAATCTAAAGCAATTCAACAACACTGTCCTTGGAGTTACAAGCAGACAAATGAACACAATACCATTTACCTTTTTTTTTAAATATTTTATTGAAACATCATTAAAAACTTCTACATGAAATTAATAAAATGTTACATGGTATGTTACAATCACAGCCATTCTAATTTATGATGTCAGCCTTTTAATGACAGAAAAATAACATTTTGACAAATGAATGCATCGTTAACATCACTTCTCATGTGACGCTACATATGGTCCTCAATGAATATCTGTATATGTAGTTAAGAGCCATTCTCGTAAACATAGTAGGAGACACGGAATACAGCTAGAGGACAAAAAGGTATCATTTCACGTTCTTTATTAGGTGTTCTCAAGGTGCAGTGTCATTGAATAGAGAGGACAAAATGCATGTGAGTTAATAAGTGTTTAACACTCAGTTGCTGGGGATACAGACAGTGATGAGAGGCTATAATCACTGATAACAAAAGGCTATAGCCAAAACACTGCAATGACACAATATGAGAGCAGGAAGTCACGTTTACCGACTATATAGGAAGTAAGTTCTTCTTTCCAGGTTACCATTTTAATTCACTCATTTCTCTGGCTGGTGAGCGTCATCTTCATCCGGTTTCTGCATCTCTGCGTCCTCTCCGTTTTGCATTTGGTCCGACTCTGCTGATTCCTTATTCTGAGAGGGCCTCAGGAGATATTCCAGCTCTTCTGCACTGATGGCCACCTTCTCTGGAATCAACCACCTCTTGAAGTGTTCGAGAGCACTGCAAAGGGATGAAGGGCACGAATAGTTTAGGGTGTTAACCTCTTAAGCCCCAACGCCCCCTGATGCGGGGGCAAAAGGCAGGAGATCAGTTAGGCTTGGGGCTTAAGAGGTTACGATAAGAAGCAGGCCATCTCCAGATAACTACTCGACACTTTGAAAGATAAAGATTAAAGTAATTTTGTATTGGGATGAGTAAATGCCACATAAGTCTCTTGAATTTAAGGAAAAGTGGAAACAGTGAGATGATGAGTTATTGCTGTAATATGTTAAGTTAGAAAGACATAGGAAAGAAATGCGCAAATGATACAATCACATCTAAAGATGCAATGACTATTTAAAAAAAAAAAAAAAAAAAAAAATCCTCCTCCAACAGGATGATTTTTCACATCATGTCCATGTCCTACCTCTCATCCATGTCGCCCCCTTGGAAGAGCTCTGAGGTCTGGGTATCGTGTAGGAACCTATCCCAGCATTCCTTCTTGGCTTGAGACAAGGAGTGCAGCATGTCCCTGGAGGTCACATCACTGGACTGGCCCTTTATCTTCTTCAGGCGGTTTTCTGGAGCGAAATGTAGCCAAAAATGTCAGTTTTATAGCTTGGATCAAAGTTCCGACAGATTTTGAATTAAGAATCAAAGAAGAGTGGGAGTTTTGGTACAATGTGTCATATAAGGCCAGCAAAGATCGCAGATATGCAAAATAACCATTTAGGATGACCATAAAGGACTGGTTAGGCTGTAACGGATGTAATGAATTTATTTAAGATGAAAATTAAGAACACCTACTGAACAAATAAAACATTTAACTCATGAGAAATAAATAAGTGCTGATCTTTCTTTGATTAGGAGAAGAAAAAAAACAAAACACCTTCTGCAGCAATCTTGTCTTTTTAAATCATGTGTGAGTACATACTGTCAAGTGTTTTGTAACAACGTTATAGTTTTGTATTTTTATTGGTTGTCATTTTTTAAATTTTTGTTTCTGGTTCCGTTTTTTTTTTTTTTTCCCCCCCCATGAAGTTTTATTTCTATCGCTTTAAGGTACACAGAGGGACTATCGAGAGCATCCTGAGCAGCTGCATCACTGTCTGGTATGGTAACTGCACCGTATCGGAGCGCAATACCCTACAACAGATAGTGAGAACAGCTGAGAAGACCATTGGAGCCTCTCCTCCCTCCATCACAGACACCACTAGTATTGTGGAGGACCCCATACACCCCTCACACACACACTCTTCACCCTGCTGCATTTGGCAAGAGGTAACAGGCCCTCACTGGAAGAGTGAAACAGTTCCATCCACCCAGACGTCAGACTCCTGAACACTGACTGACACACTACCACACACACCTCGCTGTCATTGTTGCGCTTTTCTATTGCATTGTTGTGTCTGCACCGTCTTGTGCCTGTATCGTTCTGTTCTGTCTGGTGTTGCACTGTCTTTGTTTAGGTTTTTGCACACTTGCACTTCATGTAGTCCTGTATTGATTGTCTTTTATGTGTTATACGTAGCACCATGGTATGGGGCAGAACATTAAACAGCGGAAGGGTGTAATAAAATAATTGACAGATGACACATCTATGACACATGCCATATTTTTGGAACGCCCTTATTCACAAAAGGTCGCCACAGGATATTTGATCAGCAGTTTTTACACCGGATGCCCTTCCTGGCCCAACCCCAGAGGGATCTGTGTCTCCTTCTGGGATCAAACCAGGGATCCGTCGCTTGTTAGGCAAATGTGTCAGCCACTACAAAAACATGGAGAATAAATAGGCAATTCAAGCCAGCTATGCTGAAGAAAACTATCTGGTTTCATTTTGCGGGAATTTAGCATCTTATCATTTCCATGCCTCTTGCTGACAGACAGCGAGGAGACAGGAAGTCTGTAGTCTTGAAAAGCTAAAAAAGGAAATACCTAGAGTGGCTATGTAAATCTCAGAATCCTCCATGGGTTCCCATTTGGCACTAGATGGACTGGTATCCGTCCCATTTGCTTGTCCATTAACCTGCACAGGCGGGTGAAATGAGTCTTTGAAGTCTGTGCTGCTCTCCGGGGTCGCCTCAGTCTGCACCTCCGGCAGGCTGGAGCAGATCTCGGACCAAAGCTCCCCGCTGGACCGAACCTCCCGTTTCTCGAAGTCGTCTATCATTCTGGTGCAGCCACTGGGTAAAAGAGATGTCGACATCACGGTTTAAAACACACACACAGTGTTACTCTGTTTTTGGACTAAGACCCTTTTCTTTCAGTAACACTTGCGTCAGATGTTTGGAAGGTACATACAATTAAGACAAACCAGAAAGCTGATGGTAAGGTTTACATTTACGGCTAAGCTGGTTGCTGACCAACTACATGGATAATTACTGTGCATTTAAACGTTTTTCGAGCAGTTTGTTACCATAAAGAATAGAAACATAACTTACCTGTGTGGGAAAAACCTCAAAAGGCTAGAAATTAATAACGCAGATATATTATTTTAATGATTAAAGTTTAGCGTTGCTAGCTAAACATATCCATGATCTACAACCTTAAACGACCGACAGCCCACTTCCTCTTTTAGATATATTTGATTAGACGCTGTATCCGCCCGTCAAGCAATTTTGAGAGCTGATTGGTTAGTTTGGGCTTCACATATAAAAGGTTAGTTTCTCATTGGGCTGTGGTTTGCTGAGGAGGGGATTAGGAAATGTGTCTCAGCTGGAAGTAACCGCGGCTGAGCTACCGAGGTAAACAAGGGCTACCGACCTCTACGGAATTTGTTTACATGGGGGTATTTACTATTTTAAAAAGTGCAATAATCATTTGCAACGGTATAATGATAGTATCCGCTTATAGTGTAACGTAAACTTGCTGTTATAGCCGTTACATGTGCTGCTGTACCGCTCGCTGTCTGTCTGTCAAGTTTACTGTAATTAGTGAATTTGCACTGCCACATTTGGACATCTTACAAATGACCTAAACTGCCCTCTCGATTACCACACGGAGAATACAGCCAGGCCGTTGAATGCATTTTACAGTAATCTGTGTGTCGTGTACTCAGGGTTACAAGCGCTGATCGTCGCGTCCCTGCAGAGAGATTCGGTGTAGGAGATGCGAGCGGCGCTGCGCCTGGCAGTAGTGGCAGTCCCCATGGGTGTGCTGCTGTCCCGGACAATGGCGTGGATGTCCAGCGGCAAAACAAATCCAGAGCTTATCAGCAGGCTAAGGGGTAAAGGGTTTGAGCTTTGATATCTTTGTTGTTGTTTGTGACCTTTCTTGACCTTTCTAAACGAGGGTTGGGACTGTAGTTACATGTTGCACAGGTTGGTTTGGAATCATCATCTCCATTCATTCAACTCAGTATCAATACCTCTTTTTTTCTTCTTTTTCTGCCAGACCATGGCGTGATCCAGAGTGACAGAGTGTTCAATGCCATGCTGGCTACTGACAGAGGACTCTACTCGAGAGACTATCCATATGCAGACTCTCCCCAATCCATAGGTATTTATTTCAGAAGCACTTTCTAAACACACAAATGCATGTTACTGTCAATGCAATAACAAGAGCCTGGGTTTTTTCATCACATTGCATTGTTGAATAATAGCTGTTTTATAGAGAAAGATCTGCTACAACTTTGTTATGAAACGTTGTAATTACAGGCTACAGGGCAACCATCAGTGCACCACACATGGTGAGTAACAAACACTGAACAGTGCTGGGAGGACCAAATGGTTAAACAAAACTTAACAGAAGTTTTCCTGCTGGCTTTACTCGACAGCATGCTCATGCTTTGGAGCTACTAAGTGACAAACTAACTGAAGGAGCGTCGGCACTGGATGTAGGCTCAGGAAGTGGATATCTCACCGCCTGCTTTGCAAGAATGGTAAATTCTGTTAAAAATTTGAGAAGTTTCTTTCTAAATCTCACCACTAGCTAGATGGTTTCACCCATGTATCATGTAACAGAGGTTAAACAGCTGCTTTTTACCATCATATGCAGACAGGGCCCACGGGTAGAGTGGTTGGCATTGAACACATCGACGAACTGGTTCAGATGTCAATCAAAAATGTTCAAGCTGACGACCCGGAGCTGCTGTCCTCTGGACGCATCAAACTAGTTGGTGAGTCAGGAGATGTCAAACTTAAAGTCATGCCACTTTTATCTATTGAGATTTAAAGCACATGGCTGCAAAAAAAATACAATTCATATCTGGGTATGCCCACAGTGGGAGATGGAAGACTCGGCTACCCAGATGGAGCGCCGTATGATGCCATTCATGTTGGTGCAGCTGCAGCCACTGTTCCTAAGGCTGTAAGGACACAGGCTTTACTCTTGTCAGAATAAAATGCAATAAAAATAGGCATAAGACACTCATTCAGCTATAACTGAAGCCTGCAAACAAGGCACAGAAGGCTGTGGTGTATCTACAGCTATATTAAAGTCATTATAACCCAATCAGTTGTCTCTAAAATAACTTTATCAAGTATGTTAAGCTTCGAAGGTACTTGAAATGCATTCTAAAGACAGACTGCGCTGAATTAATGCCATGAATAAAGTGAAAAAGTATGAAACCCTTTTTTAAAATCCTGTCTTTCCTTATGGAAGCTCTTGGAGCAGCTGAAACCAGGTGGGCGGTTGGTTCTCCCAGTGGGCCCTGATGGTGGCAGTCAGGTGCTAGAGCAGTATGATCGGCAGAGTGATGGGAGCTTCCTCAAGAAAGCTTTGATGGGAGTGGTTTATGTCCCCTTGACTGACAAGAGGCACCAGTGGCCTGGGTAAGAAAAAAAAAAAAAGCCTTAAACCCCTTGAACTCTTACACAAAAAATGAGGAAGTCACCTGTGCCTGCTATCCTTCCTTCTCTCCCCAGAGGTGAGCTCTGACTGCAGTGTGGTTGCCCTTGCAGGAGGTGGCGTTGGTGCTGCGTCTCCGGGGCCCTGTAACACCTCTTATAGTTCAACTGAGCTTCTGTCTTAAGGACCACCTGCTCTGCTAGGTTGTCACCTAGCAACATGAAAGGAGGATATTGCTCTGTTTGCCTGGCCAGATTGTCTTCCAAGGGTGATAAAACAATGAGTGACTAAATAAGTCTCCAGCGGTCTACTGATTAGCCTCTTCCCAGAATCCTGTGATTCATTTAGAGTGATGCAAGTACAGTAGATCACAGTGGGGGGGAAAAGGGCTGTACACAGTATTATTTCTGGGGAAGTTTGTGAAGTGTAATAATGGGTTTGTTGAGATTACAGCATGAAAAGCTCTAAGATATGTGAATGCTTGTGCTGATTTCAGATGGATGGTAAAATTGTGTGTATGTGTGTGTGGGGGGGGGATTATTTGGATACATATGCAGTAATACTTGCAAAAGTTCAAACCTGGGGATTTTAATAACCGTTTAGCAAATTGACAAAGTAATATATTTTTGTGGGAAGAATGCTTCTTACTCATTTAACAATATGTGTGTGCAGAATAAATCACATGTGACACTGTAAATATAGAGCAGGGTTAGGAAGTTGTGCCAAAACATAATAATCTGATACATTTTTGGAATCATATAAGTAACGTAATCATATGTAAATATTGGATTTAATAATAAAACCAAGTAAACGAATATTTTAGTGACTGCTGTTATTCCAAAAAGACTGAAAATAAACACATAACTGAGGTAAACAAGCCTTTTTTGAGATGCTGTGCCATAAAGTGATTTCCTGTATTTAAACCATTTTAAATGTCTTTTAGGCCTATAATCTGTCATGAATTCTACATTAATTGAGCCAAGAAAACAATTTGAAGGGTAAAAAAGAACTCGTATCACTATAATGTAGGTGCAGTAACAAAGTTTTAAAGACACTTGCAAAACAGGTAATTTCTTTATTTTATATATAACTTCATAAATCTATTTAATTACAATCTATTAAATATAGGCAAACATTATACATTAAGGAACACATCAAAAATCACTTTGTGGCACAAAGAAGTATTAAGGGAATTGGTATCGTGAGAAGCTACAAGGACTAGAGCATAAAAACATGATCATGAACAAACACAAACATACTGTCATTTATATTTCGTGTGAATAGAACTTAATTTGTAACAAAAATACATTTCATGACAAAAATAATACATTAAAACACATAAATAACAACAAACGGTCTACTTTTAATGGTTAAGTGCAAAATGGGATGCAGGATTGGGTTTGATAGTTTGGTTTAAACTTCAGGGAGCGCCGATTGGACTACAAACGTCATCACGGCGCGCGCGTGTGGCGAGAAGGACCTCTAGCTAACGAGCGATGCACGTGAGGGTGCCGTTTGGAAGCTTATTATCTTTCTTTCTGACTCAGTGTGACGTTCATCGTCGCGGAGTTTATTTTGTTTCTGCCTGCGAGAAAGCGAATAGGTTTCTGGGTTTTCTTAATTCCCCACAGTGTAGAAAGAGCAGCTGGGCTATGGAGCGGGCGGGTATTGAGTCGGGAACACCGGGAAATGTAAACACGCCGGTGCCCTTGGAGCAAACTACGGCGGTAGAGGCGTCAGAAACTGGCAAACGCAAAAACGACGACACGGACGACAAAGAGACAAGCGGCAGAGGTAAGAGACGGAGAGGAGCCGGTGGGAAGAAGCTCCGTCCGGGGGAGAGATATATCCCCCCACCGCAGAAACGCAACCCAGGTGTGAGCTTTAGCCAAGAGCATTTCAACGAGACGTCATACTACTTCGAGGCTGGGCTTCGTAAAGTCTATCCGTATTACTTTGACTTTAAGACCTACTGCAAAGGTCGGTGGATTGGAAAGAGCCTTTTGGATGTGTTTAAGAATGAGTTCAGAGCTGAGTCCATTGAGTATTATCAGAAGGCCGCTAAAGAGGGTCGCATCCGCCTCAACGAGACACCTGTGGAGGATCTATCTGTGGTGCTCAGGGTAAGTCTCATAAGTCCATAGTATAACCTATATAGGGGGAGGTAAACGGGATCTAGTTAGCACTGACAGTTGCCCCTGTCAGTGCGCCCCAGGGTAGCTGTGGCTACAATGTAGCTGCCATCACCAGTGTGTGAATGTGTGTGTGAATGGGTGAATGACTGAACGTGTAAAGCGCTTTGGGGTCTTAGGGACTAGTTAAGCGCTATACAAATACAGGCCATTTACCATTTGTGGGATACTAATACAAGGTATTGACTTTATGCCATGGCTACATTATTCACCAAATTCATGTTGCCAAATGATCAGTCAGTAAAATTACTTTTGTTCAATATTGTAGCTTGCATTGAAAGGATCAAATATTTGACATGTGGTAACTGTAAAGAACAACCCTTCATGTCATTAAATTGGTAGCTATCCAAATCTTGATACTCTGATTTCTAAAAATTCACCTGATTGTATTGGATGGCCTTGTTTGAGGTGGGCAAACACTTAAATTTTCCCTCACCATGCACAGAATAATGATCACTTGAGGAACACTGTACACCGCCACGAGCCCCCTGTAGTTGGCAGACCACTGGAGATTCTGGTAGATGATGGCGAAGTGCTTGTGGTCGATAAGCCTGCCTCCATCCCTGTGCACCCTTGTGGCCGATTCCGCCACAACACGGTGATTTTCATTCTGGGGAAGGAGTTTGGCATCTCTGAGCTGCATACAGTCCACAGGCTGGACAGGCTCACCTCTGGAGTCTTGCTGTTTGCCAGGACGCTTGAGACCTCTAAGAAACTGGACCAGATGGTGAGAGACAGACAGGTATGTTGAGCATGTTTTGCACTTTTGTGCGAGTCGGTTTTCAAAACGTCTCCACAGGTTTCTTACATCTTCTGTCTCTTTCAGCTTGAAAAGGAGTATGTCTGCCGAGTGGAGGGGGAGTTTCCACAGGATGAGGTGATCTGTGAAGAACCCATCCTGGTTGTTTCTTTCAAAATCGGCCTCTGTCGTGTTGACCCAAAAGGAAAGGAGTGCCGGACCGTCTTCCAGAGGCTTAGCTTTAACGGAAAAACAAGTATGGTCCGCTGTTTACCCCTTACTGGTCGGACACACCAGATCAGGGTCCACCTTCAGTACCTGGGTTTTCCCATCCTTAATGATCCCGTCTATGGGTCATCAGCCTGGGGTCCTCACAGAGGGAAGGGGGGACTTGTGGGGAAGAGTGATGAAGAGCTTCTGCAGGCGCTGGTAGAAGAACATCGCTCTCAGGAAAATTTTAACATGCTGGATATTGCAGATGACTGCATTGGCATTGCACACAAGGCAGACAAAAATAAAGCCTCAGAGAAAATGGACAAATCAGCTGGAACCGCTGAATCTGAAAAAAGCGGAGAAAGTTGTCCAGTACAGGTAGATGCTTGTGGCAGTGACAAGAAGTTAGATTGCATCGAGGCAGTAAATGACAACAACACCGTTAAAGACTGTCAGAACCCTCAACCAGTCAAATCACATGGAAATGAAACTGGGGAAAATGATTCTAGTCAGAAAACTCCCCCAGACCACCTATGTAGTGAATGTAAACTAGTGCGGCCAGACCCCACAGAGAAGGAACTCATCATGTATCTTCACGCTTTACGCTACAAAGGACCTGACTTCGAATATTCCACACAATTACCTGACTGGGCAAAAGAGGACTGGGTGGAGGCAGATTAGAACAGACCAGATGAACGCTGCTGACGGCTTTGACATTTAATCTTCAGACAATCATTAATCCTCAAGGAGATTTTGGTTTTTAATTTTTTTGATTTAGAACCAAAAACAAAAATGTTTTGCTGCTTTGAAAGCAAATACGAGTTAAGATTGGAGTGGTTCTCATTTCACCTTGAGGTCTATTTTAATTTAACATTATCCACAAAGTCTGTAATCTGTCTTGTACCACAGCGAACATTTGAAATAAATCGAAAGCCAGTCTGCAGGAAAATAAAATGTTTTATTTCATTTTTGTGAAAAACCAACATTGACAGCTATAAATAAGAGTGGTGGTGACCTTTATCTTTTTGTTTATAGAAAGCCTGTGATTGATTACCTTTGTCTATAAGGCAAGGTTATTCTGCTGAGTGACCCAAAGTGAAGGCTGGTTAAAGATGTTTGATTATACAGTCAAGATATCAAGTGACAAAAACACCTCTGCAATGAAAAGTCTTGAAAATAACCTCGCTCATAGGCACATTTTATGGCAAATCTTTCTTCTTAAGGTCCTCGCTGAATCACAGCCACTGCACCTTCAATACTTCTTTGTTTTATACATATAAAGGACCATAAACATATCAAATTTTACTCTTAGGACACTTTTTTTTTTTTTTTTGCACATCACAAAATTTCAGCTGCTTTGAAACAACCGTTTGAAAGACATTTGACACATGCTGTTCATGTCATAAATACTGTTAAATGCTTTGCAGTGTGGATAAAGGTCGCCTGTCAGGAGTTTCTCTTAACACTGCAGCCAGATCTGTATGGGAAATTGACTGTTGATGCAGCTGCTTGTGATGGTACAATTACTGCATTTAAAACAGAAATTCAAGCTCCTCCTAATTCTGCTAAGGCTTACTGACATCTGTGGATCCTGAATAGTATGCACCTTAAGTGTATAAACCTTAGTGTTAAGTCTGTTAGACACCACTTTGCCCCTTGGAAATCAGCACGAGTGAACATTACATTGTTTTGGCACTGACACTAGAATAAACAGCATGACCGTTAATTTGAAAGTGAAACATTAAAAGCAAGCCAAGACACCACACATGATACACACTGCGAACTGTAGGTTAGTGATTCTCTACATTATCATCACAAAAGACATACTGTACATGTTATCCCCACAGAGTGCAGAACCCACTGACAGTTGTCTGCTTCTCTAAACGTGATAATGATTGAGTCATGCTCATAAACTGTTTGCGGCTTTGCGCGCAGGCACACCCCACGCAGCTCTGTCTCTTTATATCTCACATTTAAATCTATGAGTGCATATGGCTCATAGGGGTCAATCCCAGCTTGGAGAAACCCAGTCTGTGCAGAGCGTCCAGGTTCAGAAGTTAAAAAGTTCCAGGCACAAAGTAAGTTCTGCAGGCAGCAGGTGCAGCACTCGGATAGTTTCTGTGTCGATGACGAGCTGCAGTTAATATTCAAATGTGGCATTTGTTTAAAACTGTGGCTGGATAGAAAGCTTCATCTTTTGCTGTCATGCTTTCAGTTTTAACCTTTAGCTGAAGACACGCTCATGCTCTGACCTCATTTGTAACAAACGATGAAACAAGACTGGACAAACATGCTGTCGTGTTACATTTGCAGTTGGCTTGTATTTCCTTTGTGTAATATACAAATGTAACAATGTATGCTCCTTTTTCATCAACTGTGATTGTATAAGTTCAGTTGTTTTGGTTTAAATTTTTTTATATGTATAAATTAAGAGTCAGATCCACAGTGTTTTCAAGATTTTCTCCAGCTTTCTTTAACAAGTATCTTCCCGCTGTCCGTCTCTCTTTATCCAAACATCTGGTAAGTCTGGCTTACTGTTGGGTAAAATCACCACTTCCTCGCTGTGGCTGGTGCGACGCTTGCCACAAGTCTCATAAACGATTTCTTTCAGTGAGAGACGAAGTGCATCTCTCCTCCCATTAAGGTGTCCTGGCTGTAAGTGGACCTCCGCCTCTCCTTCTTGCTGCTGTGTGTTCGAAGATCCTGGTTCGATGTCACTGAGGCACGTTTCGCAGGACTCCTCCAGACCCTCACAGGAGCTCTGAGACAGGGAGAGGTGACGTCCTTTATGTGAGCCATGAGGGTGACAGCACCTCTCCCCTAAGGTATTTTCATCCTTGCAGAGTGATGACTGGTCAGTAGTCTCCAGTGTATGGCTGATGATGGTCTCCTCCATGCTTGACGATGAGGATGATGTATTGCTCCAGTGTTTCACCCTGACAGACTGACTCCTGCAGGTTTTACACAGCAACTTGTCCTTAGCTACATCTTCTTCAGCCAGGCCTGGTGGGCATAGAGTGTTTTCTTTGTAAGGAGATGAGGTCTGGACGGCTGGTGGTGGTTGGCAGATTTTCTGTTGATGGCTACATGTCTCCTCACTCTCCCCATCCATGGTATTCCTTGCCACATCTCCCTCACAGTACTCAATCTCATCAGAAAGCACAGAGGGCCGGTTTGACAGTTTACTGGTGCAGGTGCTGTTCTCAAAGCTGTCACTCAGGCGATAGGCCAATGGCTGCAGCTCGTACTGCTCGGGCCCTCGATTCCCGCAGCCACTTCCTGCAGTCTGTTTCTGCCTGTGCTGACGATGGTTGGGATAGAGATAACCGCCTGCTTCTTTGTCATAACTCCTCCTCACTCTAGATTTACCAAATGCCCCGTTAGCCGCAGAAGTCGACAAAGAGCCAGGCTCAGAACAAGAAGAAAGCATACCGTCCGTTTGGTCGGAAAAACACGGCAGCGTGATCATTCCACAGTTTTTCTGGGGTCCACAAAAACAGCACAGGGACTGGAAAAAGAAGGTTGCAAATCCACACGCTACACATTTGACCAAAAACAGAAAAATCCCAAGCTTTCTGAAGAACAAGGCCGTGGCAGGTAACATGATGATCCCTATGAAGAAAAAAGCACCAGAAACTATTGCTACAGGACATCCCATCCTTTTAGTGGCATGTGCTACTTTCCCAATTTTATCTGAATGTGGAGCTAAGCTGTAGGATATGCAATAGTTGGCAATAAAATCGACTGACAGCCCTGCGGCAGATGATATAAACAGAGCCTCTGTGCCACACAGCTGCCATTCAAGAAGAACAAGGAGGCCGACAGTGACAAACACACTGCCTCCTACGGCTATTGTTCCATATATGCTCAGTGGAATATTCCATGTGGTTAAAAGAAGCAAAGCACATGTGAGTGCTACTGAAAAGCCAGCTACTACTAGAGTCTCTGAGCTTAAAGACTGCTGCAGGTCAAAAAGAGACAGCTGACTGATGAACCAGCCGTTCTCCAGCCCTTGTGGTGCTCCTGATATCTCTCTGTTAAACCATGTCAGGATTTCTCTGTAAAAAACACTGGTTCTGCTAAAGTTGAAGCTGTAGAAGTATGTAGTTTTGAATGCCAGCACGAGGGCAGCAACCCTGCCATCTGGCTGGAAGTACACCCCTCCGCTGTGTGCCAGATGGCCCTCGGCATACCTCTCTGCCAGCATCATGCTTAGGCAGTTCTCAAAAACGCTGGGAGGGTAGGGGAATGGGATGTCATTACAGCAGAAATGAAGGGCGTCATCGCTCTCTGAGCACCTCCTGACAGATATCCAGTGTATTAGCTGCTCTACGAGGCAGATATTATCTGTCATTGCATCTTTATCTTCAGGTGATGAAGGACAGTGAAAGCTTTGGTTCTGAACCCGTCCACACAGCTCCCGCAACCAAACCTGAGCATCAGGTCGGCTCATGTTAAAGTCAGGGTCAAGAACTAAAGAGCCATTGCTTCTTGGGTTAAAGTGGTCTCCGTTGTCAGTCGGTTTGATGCCCCAAACAAGCATCAACGTAACAGGCTTATCCTCTCCATTTCTTTGCCTCTCAAACATGAACATGTGATGGTACTCTGCGTCATATCGCTCAAATGGGTGACTGGAGCGGAACAGTTGGGTGACCCTGCTCTCAAGAGCTGGCAGCTTCATGCCCGGGTCTATGCATGACATGTACATGCCTCCAGCAGCGAGCACTGCAAACCAGCAAACCCAAATGTATCTAAACTTCACAACTCCACAGGGCAGGATTTTCAGAAATAATAAATTGGAGGTGTCAGTGAGACCACGATTTAATTCTCTCAGCTTCTGCCCAAGGCTGAAGAGGCATCTCTTGCGTGAACTCGTGTCCCAAAAGCCACCAGTGCTTTTGGAGCAGCAGGGGTTCCATCCTTGCACTGCCGCAGATGCAGAAGACATTTTTGTGTAGCGCTCACGCAGAATGAACGAACACGGCAGCCACACCAATGCCAAGAGGGAGCTGATTACAGAGGCAGTTCCGAGATAAATGGAGAAGCATCTGATTGCTGTGATGCTGCTGAGATAACCAGAGAAAAAAGCTGCACTGGAGGTCAGCCCTGATGCTAAAATCAAATAGCCTACTTCCTGCAAAGCTCTGTTTACTCTCTTTTCCAGGGAAGCTGAAGGATTTTGGGATAGCTGCAGATTCCAAAAGTCAGTAAAGATGAAAACCTGATTGGAGCAGCTTCCCAAGAGAATAAGAGCTGCTGACAGGTTGACCAGAGGAAAGAAAGTCAGACGAAATGCTACTTTGTAGAAAAAATAGGATGTTAGAAGGGAGCCGGTGATTGCTATTACAGATAGCGCTACTATGAAGAGCGAGTGGAGGTATAGAGCCATAGTGAACAGAAGTGATACAACAGCTAGGACAGGGTAAACTGAATCTCTTGTCAGGTAATACTCAAACAGAGCCTGCTTAATGCCAAAGTCTATGCCAGTAATAGTCGTATTATTGTAGGTTAGATCCCTGCCTTCAAGGCTATTCATGTATATCTCCATCATATGTTCTCCTTTGTCTACAGGTAGGAAAAGAAGACTGTACTTCAGTGTGGGAATTTGGTATTCAACAGTCTGCGGTCCAAGAAAGTCTTTGTCAACCAGAAAGTGCAGGATTTGGAACACCACGCGGGATTGTTTGCAGCGGGAGGGAACCGAGGAACAGCTGCCATGTTTGGGTCTCTGGGCACAGGCTTCAACTAGATGTCCTTCATGATAGTATGGCGCACATTTCCGCAGAAGGTTCAGAGACTCAGAAACCTGGTATGAGAGAAAGACAATGGAAAATAAAACCACAAGATAACACAACAGAACTGAGGTATAATTAAGTGCTTACTGAGTTTGCATTGCTCACACATATCCATGCTCCTTTAACCTTTTGTAAAATAAGCACATTTTATTTCTGAAA